AGAGAATGATCTAACTTAAAGAGATTTTGATTGAAAAGATAGATGAAATGTCTTAGGGAGATACAGAGAGTTTAAAATAGAGTAAGAAGAGAAGAGAAAAGAAGAGAAAACACAAGTTACAATGCAATCTCGAAAATGAGCCCTAGAATTTGAAAGACCAAGTTTGAATTCGAAAATGAGGCTCCTCCTCTTGGTTTGGACGTGGGCTTGAGACATAAGAGGAGTTGGGCCTCGAATTCAACAGATGGGCCATGATGGAGTGACACAATTGCCTCATTAAAAACCTTGTTGAGAAAACCCATTGAGACAAAACTCAACAAGGGAAAAAGAGTACAATTGAGTCACTCTCCCATTGTTGAACTCAATTGACATAGCTCTTTCTCCAATCCAAGGTGGTTTGATAAGCTTCTTCAAGAGAACATCCGCAGCTACAAGCTCATCCTCGGGTTCATGCTGCTCCTCTGGTTCAAGTTGATTCCTTGCTCCGTGCTGCTCAACAGGTTCAAGCTCATTCCCACATTCCGAGTCCTTGGTGCTCTCCAGGATCACATCAACATGTTTAGTTTTATCGAGGCATTATTTTTTGTAGCCTGCTATAGTAGTTAATAGATGTTATTGGTTGTTTGCAGGTTTCTGTTGAATCTATTATTCCTCTTGATGATGCTGTTATTGGAGACGATTTGTCTTGGTCTGACGAGGTGGAAGATGTGAAAGTTGATAATTTGGTTAGGTTAGTTCAAGAAGGCCACCAATGGTCTGGTGATGAATTTGGAGGTGGTGTGGTTGCGTCTGCGCTTCTTGTAGAACCTAAAGAAAAAGCAGAAGGGAAAAAAGTTGTAAAGTCTAGGAAGAGGAAGAAGTCTCCTGTTTGTGGCAGCAGTAGTGATGGTAGCCAGCCTGTACCATTTTCTGAATCCCAAATGGAGTGGTTAGCAAAGCAAATTAGTTCGCAAGTTTTTGTAGCTGTTAGTAGCGTGGAAGATCGCTTGGTGTCTCATTTAAAAGGGAAAAGTGGAGGTGGGCCTATTGGTGGTAAGATTGCTGCTCCTGAAGCTGTTGCTCCTGTTTCCAAGGGTAAGGTCAAACCCATTAGCCGTGGCAAAAAGGCAGTTCTACCCAAGCGGAAACAGATGCGTGTTGATGGAAAGTTGAGGCAGATTAGAGATGATGATGAGACTGAAACGGCTACTGTCCCAGTAGGGGATGAGTCTGAAACGGTTGGTGGCAAAGGAGGGGAGGAAGGAGGGGAGGCTTCTGTTACTATGGAGGATGTAGAGACTGAAGAAAGAGGTTGCAAAGAAGGGGAGGATGTTAGAACGGCTAGTCAACAAGGAGATGCTGAGGAACATCTCGATTTACATCCGGATGATACTGTTAAATCTGTGCTTGATTCTCTAAACCGTGGTGGAGCGGAGGTTAGTTATTCACTAAAATGTCAACACATGTGTACATGTATCGGGGCATTCTTGTTCATACCATGATATGGTAGTTAATCGTGTTTTGTTTGTTAGCAGGTCTCTGAGAATTTAGGTCCTGATTTTGAGCAGGAGGATCCTGCTGTTCTCAGTGGGGATGGTCTTAAGGACCAAGATGATGCTGTCAAAAGTGGGGATGGTCTTAAGGACCAGGATGATGCTGCCAAAAGTGGGGATGGTCTTGAGGACCAGGATGTTGCTGCCAAAAGTGGGGATGGTCTTGAGGACCAGGGTGTTGCTGCCAAAAGTGGGGATGGTCTTGAGGACCAGGATGTTGCTGCCAAAACTGTGAATGATGACGCTGAATGTCAGGGGAAGGAATCTACTGAGGGTGGAAGTCTTGCTCTCTTTCCTACTGGGGCTTCTGTTGGTTCAGAGGAAAATGTGTCAGGGGAAGGGGATGCTAGTGATAAGAAGTGGTTGGAATTTGAGAAGTATTTAGCGGATAATGGGTAATGTGTCTATCTATGTTTGGTTATGTCTAGGTATTGTAAACATAGATGGATATTGTTTTTAATATCTTGACATATTGATGTGGACCTTGTCAGGAAATTGTTTTTGGGGGGGAGCTTATTCCTCGTAACCAAGGACGTGGAGGAGATTGTTGGACTACAAGTTGTTATGGGACCATGGGTTAGTATCTAAACTTCGTTTTCTAATTAATGTTGTTTCATATCATGTGTAAACCTTGTGCTCTCTTGTTTGTAGATGATGAATGCATTTATCAAGTATTTCCGTGATAAGTGGGCAAACTTAGAGGTTGGCTAAAATGAACGCAGGGTGGTTTTTCAGGGGACAAAATTTGCTTCCCTTGTCCTTGCTCATCGACTCAAATTTGAAAAATCTGTTAAGAAGAAGTATGTATTCGACCAAGATTTGATGTCGTGCTTCCCTCTGAACTTTGATTCACTCTACTTCCCATTCAACTTTGACAAACAACACTGGGTAGGGATGTGCCTTGATATCAGGGGGAGATATCTCTATGTGTTTGATTGCAACCAGAAGGTGCGTCGGGACACTAGGCTCCGGAAAGAAATGGAACCTTTGTTGGAGATGCTCCCTTTCGTTGTTCGCCAAGTGTCGCCTCAGCTGATGAAAGCAGTCCCCAGTGACCCATTCATCCTAAGCAGAGACTCACTTCTTCCGACTTGTCTAAACCCTTCGGAGAGTGGCCTTATGTCTGTTTTGTTCATATAGAGGCATGCAGTAGGTCGGCTTCAAGCGGCTAGAGAGGTTAGGCCTGAGGACTTGGCTGTTCAAGCGAAGCAATTGCTCATTGAGATGTATGATGTGTATGCTGAGAAGTAAATTGTTTGTTTAGGATTTGTCCTTATTTTTATTGGAGATTCTAATTGTCTGTCTTAGGATTTGTTACTGAATAATTGAGGTTTATTTAATAATTTAGCATGGTACGCCAGAGTTTAACGCGGGATTTATATTTGTTACTAGTTATGAACGTATGTTTCTAGATTTGGAAAATGTTCATATTAACTGGAAAACAGAACTCTTCTATTACTCTTTGAAATTTGCTTTAAGATTCTCATTTCATTTAATAATTTATCATGATACGCGAGATTGTAACGCGGGATTTTTCTTTGTTTCTACTTATGATCGTATGTATCTAGAGTTAGAAAATGTTCATATCGACTGGAAAACAGAACAATGCATATACTCTTTCAACTTTGCTTCAAAATCTCATTTCATTTTGTTCATTACAAAGTTAGACAAAACACAACAAAAAAAAGAAAGAAGAGAAAACACCAAACTACCTAACTACACTAGTAACCAAGAACAAGTTTCTGGTTTTTGGTCTTACGGAACATTAAGATAACAATTACAATGACTGTTATACAAAGGCTCACCAAGCACAATTTGGTCAACAATTTCCATCTCTGAAATTCCTTTTTGCTCAAAATTCCATCTTCCTTCAATTCGTTCATCAAACTCTTTAACTCTGCAATCTCCAATGCTACCTCAGATTTAGCATTGTTTACCTCGCTATCAATGATGGAAATCTTCGGTATAACATCTACAACCTCCTCGTACACACAATCTTCGACCCATTTAAACAAATGGTCCTGCAATTACATCGAAAATCATTTTCCGACCAAACACAAACATTTAATAACAATTATACTTACATCTTGATTGGTTGGACAACGGAAGAAAGGTCTTCATGGGTTCTTCTTCGTGCTTGATGTATAGATGATGAGCTCTCGCCCGCAGTGACAGTTCGTAGGAAACCCTCGATCTTGAACACTCGAACTCCCAGAATTACAACTCATAACTATAGAAGAGGGTGATTTAGAGTTGAACGGCAGAGAATTTAATTTTAGGGTTTATGTTTTGATTTGGGGATTTCTTAGGATTAGGGATTTGAATCGAATTGGATATTTTTAGGAGCCTAGAGTAAGTTGCAAACGACGTCGTCTTTGTTATTCCCTTTAATGTCACTTGATATTTGAAATATTTTAAACATATTTATTTATATCATGGCACAAGGATATATTGGCGTACAAGTTGAGATAGCGCACATAAAAGTTTAGAAAACAAATACAAGTAGCATCTCTCGCACACATTTATTAATATCATGCCACAGTAATATATACCGTGGTACATGTTAACATATCGAACAGAAAAGTTTAGCAAACCAATACAAGTAGCATTCCTCGCACCTTGCTTCGATGGTGTGAATTTCAGAACAACATGGTATTTCTGTGTACCATGAATTGGCGTATGAGTTAAGGTGGAGGCTTCCCATTTGTTTCATTTTCGCAAATATTGAGTCGCCCATGGCTAGGACGGATCCCCAATCTTTCTTGTATAGTTTTGATGCGTATAAATTGGCAACCTCTTCCTCTCCTGAACAAATGGACAAGACTGCCATAAGGAATGTTGATTCCTCAACGTGATTTAGAGCTTTAAAGATGTGAACCCGGGCTGCCTTAATATCAGCTTCCCAACACGCAATCCGGAGGCCCTCTAAATAGTGTGCTTCTGGTTGTCCTTCGGCCAGCGCAACCTCGAACTCGTTGCGGAGAATTCCACCTTTCTTCATCAAGGATGGTTGGTCTAGATATTTCCTCATCATCCTTGTTTTTTGTTTAGGTATATTTGGATGTTTAGTTCTTCGAAATGGACCCATTTATATATTGCAATGGGTTAGGTAGATAGTAATGCAAAGGGGTAGGTAGGAAATGATGGGAAACGTGTGAAGTAGCTTTAATTTCGGTTCTAACATGTGTCATTCCTATATTTGTGTCATTCCAATAGGTAGATAGTAATGCAATTGGTTAGGTAGGAAATTACGGGAAACGTGGTAGGTAGCTTTAATTTCGGTTGTAACTTGTGTCATTCCAATATTTGTTTTGTGGTCAAATCGAATTGATAACTAAATAGATAGCCGGATATGTATTTTGTTATCCCGACACAAACCATAAAGGCTTTGATATGTAAAATGATAGAGGGACATGCATTAACAGGTAAATAGCCGCTAAACCAAGTCATTATAAAAGTTATTTTACATTGTTTCCCTTGCTAAGAGAGGGGCAGGTCATAATATATTACAAGTACGAATGGGGTTGCGAACCCTCAAAAAACAAGAGTCGGTTACATCCTTTTTTAGTCACCAAAGTCGTTCGACCACAATCCGAACAGATAATCCCAAAAGACGCGTTCTTCATTTGTACTTTAGTCCCCGCAGTGCCGAGCTATGCCAAAATGTGCAAGGTAGACTTGGTTTTTTATCTACATGCCCCCTGCATAATGAAAAAAAAAATTTGGTGACTAAAGTACCGGCGTAACAACATCCATATCCAGATATAAGGTGTTCAATATGAATTTTTCTGAATATGTTGAGTCTTTGTAGGACTTACTATATGGGCATGCGGCAAGTGGCCCTGTTGTGCCCCTTAGCCTTGCATCTTGAGAAAACATTCTGTCCTCGCATCCCTTTCTTCTGAACAATATAGATGGATACATAAGTATATACCGTGCTATATAGAGATGTATCGAATACATGTTTGTATAGCTGAATGTTGCGAGAGAGGTGTTTCTTACCTGAAACTCTCCGCGTGAGAAGAAGCGTTTTTTCTTTGGCCTCCCTGGTGCGCGCTTCGTGTGAAGTGGCAGCAAGTTCATTGAAGCAATATCCTTTGGGAGTTCGTGAAGACTAGAGAGCGCCAGAACGGGATTGATGGAATCCTTGTAAGCCATCACCCAATAACATGAGGTATAATGTACATCAACGAGAGAATGCATCGGAACCTGACATATAGAAGAGTTATTTCTACTTATAGCACGCTCTACATATATATAACGACATATAAATACCTATAACCAGATATACGTATTTATTAATAACTATATATCGGAACCTGATCAACGATAGCAGCAGCAACGGCATGGGGACAAGGGATTTTGAGAAAATTGAATTCCATGCAAGTGCATGATCTCATAGCTAGCTGGACATGGTATCCCCCCTTTGCCCCTCCGACAACATCGTATTCCCCCGTGTTAACCTTCCTCACAGCGAATCCCCCAGATTTCTCAAAGTTTTCTTGTAAGATTTCTCTTACCTTTGGTGTCAGCATAGTAGCCTCCTGTTTTGCAGTCTCCCGACGTAGTGCGAACCAAGTCATGAGAGTTTTACGCACAAACTCAATGATGTAGACAATTGGAAACTCTCGAGCTTCTTTGAGAACGGCATTGAGAGACTCATCCACATTACTTGTCATCACATTATAGCGTTCTCCAACGAAGTAGGATCTTGCCCAGTGGCCAAACCCGATTGACTTGAGATATGCTCCACATTCAGGGGATACCCGGCAAATCTCTCCAAACACTAGGTGGAAGTCTGTGATACGGTATGCCCGTGCGGCCCTCGACACCAAGAAAGAAAGAGTCTTCGCCTTGAAAATGCTTGAGATATTACGTTGCAAGTGGACTACGCATGCCGCGTGTGCTGCATTTGGGAAAACCTAGGACATAAACAAAAGATAATAGCCATGTTAGCAAGGTATATAGGGTTATCGCTTGCTATTTTTCCATATATTATGATATACCCAGAAATGTCGTATACCTTCCTGAGAGACGAGTAGATGGAAGAATGCCTGTCTGAGACGAAAGTAACAGTTGGATCATTGGGTAATATTTGCCTTAACATTGTCAGGAACCACTCCCAAGCCCTATCGTTTTCACTGTCGACGATTCCAAAAGCCACCGGGAAAATTTGAAAGTTTCCATCTTGGGCGCTCGCTGTGATCACGCAACCACCGTAATTTCCTCTCAGATGCGCACCGTCTATGACTATAACCTGGTCATACACATTTTTATGGTTTCGAGCAAAGAAAAAAACTTCAGATAATCTTCACTATGACATGACATAAACAAACATGTCAGGGTATATGTGTCTTTGACTATTACCTTGCGCATGAACTTGAGGTTGTTTATCGAGGCAGCTAGGGCGAAGAAGAGGTACTTAAACCTTTGGTTTCCCAACTCATCCACAGTTGTTTCCAGTGCAGTTAATGTCCCAGGGTTGGCAGCCTTAAGAGCATGCAAGTATGCCAGTAGAAGAGAGTAGCTATTGCCCATTGAACCTCTTGCCCCGTCAATAGAAATCCCCCTAGCTCTGCAAGCTTTCCAATATGAGATTGGGACGCGGTGGTCATTTAAACAGATCCTTTGAACCTCCCCTGGTCTTGGTCCGGTCCCAGTACCCATGTATTGCGGCCTCATGAACTCACCTACAACTCTGGCGGAAGCTTGTTTGTGGTAGTTACTACGGGCTTCAACGCTGCAAGTGTGTTCCAGACAAGCACTACGGATTTGGTAGTTGTCCGAGTCTTCAAGTCGGATGACATACACCCGCCAGGGGCAGCTGTTGGCAACACAGTTGAGGAGTACCACTTTCTTGTCTGACCGGGTGTGACGAAAATGGAACTTCCTTTGAAGTGCATGGATGGCCATTTTGAACTTGAAGTCCTCCTTGTTTTTATAAACCCGACCTACGAATATGTCATCTCCCTCGTACGTTGCATCGTCTATAGCTTGGTCGACAACTGTGTTTCCTGGTAAGACACATGTGAATTTTCATCAAGTTGAGAAAAAAATTCATATATAACATCTTATAACGTCACAAATCGAGGAGTTATTAATATTTATAGCAAGATATGTACGTATATAACCGGATATAAATAATGATAACGAGATATACGTTTAGATAAATAACTATAGTTTTAGATAGCAGGATATTACGACACTAAAATAGCAGGATATACGTATATATAACGAAGTCATTACCTCCATCTATGTTATTGTCCAGAACCAGAGCTGCGTCCCTGCCAAATACCCCCATCGATAAGTCTATGCCAAAGAAAGTGTTCTCTTCGTCCGCGTAGGTGGGAACTGTTGAGGCGGAGCCAACCTCTAGGTTGTAGATTTTTTTACTCATCAAACCATCAAGCCTCTCGTTCCAGGGGTCGGGTCTCCTGCTATCACCAGAGTCATCATCCGAGTCTGAAGATGGAATTTCAACAACGACGTAATCTTCGTGTATCAATGTCGCTGATTGAGGCTGGACGACGAACCCGCACTGTTGGAGAGCGTAGGTGATTCCGTTACAACTCCGGCGTCGTTCTTTCTGGTTACGAACAGAAGGAGGTCAGCGACATCGACTTTCATGGACAGGAAGAGGTCCATATCTTTGTCCGTCTTGATGGTCTGAGGTCTAGTCGTCCCGTCATCAACTAGAAGCATCCACGATGGCCAACGGAAAGTTAGCTTTAGGCGGGTCTCCACGTCGCTGATGTTGTACTCCTGTTTTAGCATAGTGGTGATCGTATTTATGCCATCGCCTTCACGGAGCCTCATGTTGCGTTGTCTCTCATTCGGATCTTGCTCGAACCTCCATTTCCCGATACATCACGTTCCCAGTGGCCAATCTGCACCGCCACAACTCGATGTTCCAACTCCCGTATCAGAACCATTGTACCTGCAAAATTTGAATAACAGCTTTTGTAAGTTACAAATGTTTTTCTTAGCATTAAATGAGACATCAGACATAATTAACGGTTTTTAGTTAATCTTACCAAACCGAAGAGTAAATGAAGAGCTCTGTTTTTTTCTGGGCCAAATCGAAGAGCTAATGCAGAAAAGGAATGAGTTTTTTCTGGTTTGGTGCGATATGAAAATGCCGGTGGTGGCTACTTCTTTATATAGAAGGTCAATGCTCAAGTTGTGTATCTCGTAAGATATCAAGATAATGCCTCAAGTAGCAAAGGGTCATCATTACATATCATTAAATTTTTTACACTGTACTGGGCATACAGGCATTGTGCAGAGCAACGCACGGAGCTCGATGGCTGTCTTTCGTGCTACAGTGTGTAAACGTATAACGTGATACGAACATATATATCAGGACACGAAAGCCTATAATGGGATGGGGGAAAGATATCATGGTAAGATATCTCGTAGCTGTGATTTCTTGTCTTTGCCATAATTACTTTTGCATTTAATGCTACTCTTGTAGCAACTTGGGGCAGAGAGAATTGCCAAGCCCGATACGTCTGTAGGGTCCGCCGCGATTACCGTGTATCGGATAAACGCATATATATCACGATACGTATCAGGGTTGCAACACACAGTCTCTGCGCATCAATAAATAAGTGGGGGCCCACCAAATATTGCATGATATCCCTGTGTCCCCTACGAAATTCTTGGAGGGATATTTCAGGGATATTTTCGTCAGACTTTTTTGAAACCAAAGATTTCTCTCTCTTGTTTTGCAAAGAAAAAAAATACATTATGCCACAGCTAATTATTTTTCAAATAATTAACATACAGCTAATTCACTCATATGAATATTACATTTTCTAACTAGAATAGAGACCGAAATTTCTCTTTTAGGTGAGTGAGAGTATCTCCTATTGTCATCTTTTACAAGGTGGCATAATGATCCACAATTTATTTACAAAGAGTTCTAAAACAACTATAATTAGCTACTTTGATTTTTTTTTTTGTGTCTCTATTCTCATGAATCCACACAAAATACCCTGAGATTCAATGCTTTTTAAGTTTATTGATAAATTTTTAGTTTCCATTACTCCCTTTCTTGCTATTTGTTTACTTATTCTATTTTTGTGGTTCAGCCTTGTTTTACTCTCGCCGCTTAATAACAAATAGATTTGCAAATTATAAATCGGTACTAAAATTTATCGTAATAGTGAATCCAACGCTTCTTCGAAAGATTGTAGCTCAAGTCTTCCACCTCTCGAAACAGGGGAACAATGTTTATAACAACTTTCAATACCTTCCACTGGCGACTATCTTGGGTTATCGATCGTGAGGTTAGAAATACTATCTCTTTTGGCAGGCACAAAAGGAAGTGGAAAACTATTATGTTATTTTTGATCACATTGCATCAAAGAATTCGAGACTGATAAAAAAATTGTAATCTTGTTTTAGTTTTCTTGCCAAAATTATTTTTGTTTCTAATGCGTTCATGTAATACCTTATATTCATTTTATATAATATTTACGTTTTAGCGCAAAAAAGAAGAAGCATAAATTGTAAAAAGAATAATTGAAACCAGTTTTATAATTATCTAAATTTTCTTATTCGGAAGTCTTTGCATATGATAGGGTACGGTATATATAAACAAAAAGTCTTTGCTCAACCAAGGTTTTTTATTTTCCTCAACCACACATTAATTAAAAATTCAATCTGTGATTGGTAGCCCAATTTGGAAGAAACAAGTTTTATCCTATATAATTTACGATATATTGTGCTTACATAGTAAAATATATGGTCATTATTTACATTATGAATTCAAGATATCTTAAATTTTATATATATACTTTTGTAAAACCTCTCTAAATGTAAAAATCATGATAAGTGTTTTAATCTAAATTTATATTTTTTTTTATATTATAAAATAATCATTTGCTCTTATGGATTATTTCCATATTTATAAGTTTATAACAAGTTAATTAATAATATATCTATATATTTCACCTTTCATTAAAAGAAGGTCTAAATTGGCCAGCATCAGCATGTTTGACAAATGTCACATGTCACTATGTCAGATTAATATTGATATTAGCTACATATAAATACTTGTTCACTCCTATATAATGTGTTAGAATTCTCGTGTTCATAAGATACATCGAAAGCACATATACACATAGTCTTTAGCAATTGATATAACAAAGCTATGGAGAATGAGATGGAGGATAAGTTTGAAAATTGGAAAGGTAAAGAGGCAATCTCTGGCAAACATGGTGGGATCAGAGCTGCATCTATTGTTTGTGGTAAATATTTAAAACTCAAAACTTCGTATTTTTATATTTTGTTTTATAATTTTTAATGTCATAATATATTTGGTGTGGTAAATGTAGTTGTGGTGATGATGGAGAACATAGTGTTCATAGCTAATGGATTCAATTTCGTGAAATACTTCATGGGATCGATGCATTATTCACCAGCCACAGCAGCAAACATGGTCACTAATTTCATGGGAACATCGTTTTTACTCACTCTTTTTGGTGGTTTTATCGCTGACTCTTTCCTCACTCATTTCACAACTTTCATCATCTTCTGTTGCATTGAACTCATGGTAATTAAAAACTTTATAAAATGTTATCTACCATTTAGATAATGCATTTTAATGATGAAATGGATAATCACATTAACTTGAAGGTTGTATCATTTGATAGGGATTGATCTTGTTGACGTTCCAAGCTCATAACCCTAAGCTACTGCCCGAGAAAGGTAAAACACCTTCAACTCTTCAATCAACGATTCTTTTCACAGGACTCTATGCGATGGCTACTGGTACGGGCGGTATAAAGGCCTCGTTGCCCACTCACGGAGGCGATCAAATTGATAGAAGAAATCCAAGACTGATCTCAAGATTCTTTGATTGGTTATACTTCTCTATATGCTTTGGATGCCTCTTGGCCGTAACCGTTGTGTTGTTGATCGAGGAAAAGAAAGGGTGGAAGTGGAGCTTCAATATATCGGTTGGGATTCTAGCGACTGCGCTTTGTATTTTTACGGTAGGGCTACCGTTTTATCGGTTCAAGCGTCCTAATGGAAGTCCGTTGAAAAAGATTGCAATTGTGATTATTTCTGCCGCAAGAAACCGAAATAGATCTGATTTGGATGAAGAGATGATGCGAAGTCTTATCCCTTTTGACAAGAACATTGGTCACAACAAGTTAAAGTAAGTATTGAACGTTGCTTTAAAGAGACATAATCTAATGTATAAGTGAACTGAAAATACAAACACTCATTTAGTCCATGATGAATGAGCTGAAATACCTTAAGAGTCTAATATACTATGTTCCTCGGCCAGAGGGGATGTACGGACGTAGGCCCAAAACCTCTTAGTTATTGAAAAACAAAAAAAAAAAACTCGTAAACTTAATTTTTGATTTCTACGTGAATTTAATTTTTCAGGTGGATAGATAAAGCAATGTTGAACAAAAACATCTCAGAAACAGAAGTTGAGGAAACAAGAACGTTTTTGGGTCTTTTACCAATCTTTGGTAGCACAATTGTCATGAGCTGTTGCGTGGCACAACTATCTACCTTCTCTGCACAACAAGGAATGCTCATGAACAAGAAACTCTTTCACTCTTTCGAGATCCCCGTACCTTCCCTCAACGCCATTCCTCTCATCTTCATGCTCTTTTCTATACCTTTATACGAATTCTTTGGAAAAAGGATCTCATTAGGCAGCAACAATAGATCATCTAGTTTCAATTTGAAACGCATTGGACTCGGCCTAGCTCTCTCCTCTGTTTCGATGGCGGTTGCTGCCATCGTTGAGGCCAAGAGGAAACATGAAGTGGTTCATAACAACTTCAGAATCTCTGTTTTGTGGCTAGTGTTTCAGTATCTGATGCTAAGTGTCTCTGATATGTTGACTTTAGGAGGGATGCTAGAGTTCTTCTATAGAGAAGCTCCGTCGAACATGAAGAGCATAAGCACGGCTTTGGGATGGTGTTCAACCGCATTCGGTTTCTTCGTTAGCACAACTCTTGTGGAGGTCACAAATGCCGTCACCGGAAGGCTTGGCCATCAATGGCTTGGTGGGGAAGATCTCAACAAGGCAAGGCTTGAACTTTTTTATGTGCTCTTGTGTGTTCTTAATACTCTTAATCTTCTTAACTATATTTTTTGGGCAAAGAGATATTAAGTGAAAGAACAAAGTATATGTATATTGTGTTTTTGTAAAATTGAGGCACTTTATGCTTCTAGTGTTCAATCTGAAGATAATGTAAAAAGTAAGTCCAGATACACTCATGTTAGGTGTGTAGTATATCACTTTGTTAAAGTGTATCTACAAGGGA